GTCCTTCGTCACGAGGACAGACACAGTAATAAAATGAAATGTTTCTAACCATTGAAACTTGCAACCTTTATCTGAGCAAAAGGATTAATTCAGGTTTATGAACTTTTGCCATTCAGTTAACATGAATGTCATACTACATGCAGAACACCTGCATGAATATTTAGAAAAGTTGTGAATATATCTGGCTAAAGACAAATCTTAAACTAGTTATGAAATGGTAAAATTCATAAATGTTTCATTTATAATGCTGTTTGTACCAAATTTAATTTGGAAACATTTGCATTTCTGTGTTACTTACATTTGATTTGTGTGTGTGTATGTTTTGCTGGTATTTTCAGTCTGTAGTGAAAATTGTTGATTGGAAAAATATGTAAAATCTTTCAATATTCATAACTACCAAATTAATCTGTGTCCACAACAACAACTGTACATCCTAATACAATTGTAGGTAAAGCTGCATCAACTGGTAAAAAAAGATTAAAATTTCGTTCTATTTTTTTGTTATTGAATCTTTAGATGTGATTGGTTGGTAATCACTCATTAGCAAGTAAGATCATCTTCTTTAGCCCAATTAGACCCACCTGTCAGGATTCTTGGCAGCTAATGTTGCTTTGTATTTCATTCCAATAATAAAACTAGTGGATGAAATTGTTCAAAATTTTACTAAAACCTTCCTAAAAGTTTGTAGTTTCAGAAAAATAAAATATTTTATTTTTTGACAATTTCTAATAAAAGAAATTTGTTATTTATTGTAGTTACTTGGACTTTGAATAGTTCACCAGCAAAGTGTTTTTTATATGAAGTATAAAAATACTATTTATTATCTTACAACATTTCATTTGCATGATCTCTAGAACATCCTAAATGAATATCAAAAGGTGTAAGGTAAATGTTTATATTTTATTTTCAATTTTATCTACTATATTACCAACTCTACTTATTATCATCAACATACACTGCAATGAAATGTTTAAAATTAAGAAATGGGAATATATACATACCTTTTATCTCATCCTAAAAGTCCTTTGAAATTTCACATCTGTATCTTTTCACTTAGTTTATGTTTGATTTTCTTTTCCAGTTTGCCCCCCAGTGGCACAGCGGTATGTCTGCAGACTTACAATGCTAGAATCTGGGTTTTGATACCTGTGGTGGGTAGAGCACAGATAGCCCATTGTGTAGCCTTGTGCTTAGTTACAAACAAACAAAACAAACCTTTCCAGTTCTTTGTCTTTTATCATTTATGCCTGATATGTAAACTGGTTCACTCTGGGCTTTATTATTCTTATATAGTGACATCTGCACAGATACTTGTTACACTAACACATTGCACACACCTTAATTATTCATGTTTACAATCCAGGCAACAAAATAAAATAAAAATCATTAAACCATTCAAATATGATTTTTAAACACTAATGATACATAATTAACTAAAATGTAATAGTAAGACTTAAATACAATTTAATTGTCTCTCTAACTATAGCATATTTAGGTAAGAAACCATCATGAATACTATAGTTGATCAAGCAGACAAGAATATTAACAGCAATTACATGTACAGTGTGAGAAAAACTGCGTGGCAATTTTGAATTAACTGTTAGTGGAGAAAAGTGTAAAGTGATCTCTTTCTAACCTGTATATATGCTGTATGTATGTAGTAGATCTTAAGGCAAATTACGGAAGGTGGATGTGGCACCCATTCTGGGTTGGAAAATTTATAGCTGCTTCCCAGGTAAAGCAGCTTGCAGACTGTGATAACACGTGTCAAGTAGGTCAAACATGCTAGTTTATGTTTACATACAGATGTAGACAGCCAGTTTTTGTGATTAATGCTCAACCTCTGCCAAAATCAAGTTTTTTAATAGCGAGTGGGTCACATGACATAAAACTGAAAGTTAAGTATTTTGAAGTATTCAAATTATAGCATACATAATAATGTTAATTTCATTAGTATGTATTCAAAATAATGTGGCTTAATTAAATTTTGAATGTAATGCAGTACATACAAAGAACACAATTTAAAAATGGCACTGGGGGCCATAGGGTTAATGGGCATGTAGATGACTGATAAGGCTGATCTGAGGTCCACATTTTGTTGCAGAGGGACAGAATGTAAGGACAAGTGTTGTTAAGTCAGATTACTGTTCACTCCTTTTGTTCATCCCATTTCTGCGTTTTGATAAGTTGCTGATGAGACTAAAAATAATGAGATTCCTGCAGCTGGGTAATTCTGAGAAAGATTGAGAGCAAGGGCCTACTAAGTGTTGGTTGCAATATTGCATTTTTTCATGTCGTCCACTTCTTGTTTCCTTGTTTACTTTGGGAGGTGGGAATTAGTCATATGGACGATGTGGCCAGCCTGGTAAAGTTAGTGACAAATGATCATGGCTTTGATGCTGGTGGTGCTGGCTTTGGACAGAAGGTTGATATTGGTGTTTCTGTCTTCCTGCTTGATTTGAAGAATCTTGTGAAGACAGCATTGATGATATTTTTCAGTGCCTTGAGGTACCTTCAATATGTGGTCCAAAGCTGATCCATACAGCAGGGTTGGAATTACAATGGCCTGGTATACAAGAAGCTTGGTCTGAATCTCACAGTCCTCATAGAATTTGTTTCAGATGTCCAGAAACTGTGCTTCAGCATTTGAGGTGATATTGGATCTCCTCATTGTTATCAGCCCTGTCCAAAAGGTGACTGCCGAGAGACAGAAAGTGTTCCATGTTTTGAAGAATCTTCTCTCTTATTTGGATCATCAGAGCTTCTTGTACATTTGAAACTGGTTAATAGTTTTATGGTGTTAGACAGGGTCAAATCCTTTTGTAGGGTTCACAAAAAATATTAATGATGATCTGAAGGTCTTTATCAGAGTGGGCAAGGACAGAGGCATCATCTGCATACTGAAGCTCAACGACTGATTTGGTAGTGGTCTGTTTCTATGGTTGGAGTTAGCTGAGGTTGAAAAGCTTACATCCATCCTGTAGATTATTTCAACCCCTGTTGAAAGCTTGTCAAGAAAATGAATGCTAGAAATGAAGAACAAAAGAGTGGTATAGATGGCACAGCTTTATTTCACTCCCATCTTAATTTCAAAGAAATCTGTTGAACTCCTATTGCTGATGACAGTTGATGATATGCTGTCATGAAAAAGCTTCAGGATAGTGATAAGTTTCTATGGATATATGATGTTTGAAAATATTTTCCACAAGGCACTGTGGTTGACAAGAGTCAAAGGTTTTCCTGAGGTTAGTAAATAGTATGAAGACTGGGCAATATTGCTCAAGGCACATCTTTTGCAGTTGATGTGATGTGAAGATCATGTCCATTATCCCCTGGTATTATCTAAAACCACAATGGAACTCTGGCAGTGTTTCTTCAGCAAGAGGCAACAGGTGGTTGGTAAAAGTCTAAACAACAATCTCTGGTGATGGAGAGCAAGGCAGTGCCATGGTGGTTCCCACAGTCTGCTTTATCACATTACTTAAAAATTATTGTGGTATCCCTAAGATCTGCTGGGATTTCATCGACATTCCAGATCTTAAGAATCATTGTGTGAAAAATTGAGATGTGAGCTTCTTGCCTCCATCCTTGAAAATATTAGGAGTTATCCCATTGGTTCTGGCTACTTTGTTGTTTTTGATCCTCTTAATTACATTTCTGACCTCATCGAGTATTAGAAGCACTTTGATATAATTTCTGACTGGCTTCTCCTGGATGGAATTAAGAACAGCTTTGTCATAGTTGATATTATGGTTTTTGGACCAAGAGGTCTTAAAAATGCTCTTTCCACTGTGTGCTAATGGATTCATTGTGTTTGAGAATATTTTTCCTGTCTTTGGTTTGCAGTGGATTTGGCCCTTGAGTGCTTGGTCAATAAAGAGATTTAATGGCTTTGAAAAATCCATGCGTGTCATTGATGTAAGGTATTCAATCTCATTTGCTTTGTTATTCCAACACTTGTTCTTAATGTTGCAGATTCTTCTCTGCACTTGATATAGCCTCCCTTCAGATGTAATGTAATATTAGTATCTCCAACGGGCCTAAAATTCAAAAAATTCCTAGTTTTATAAGTTATTCCTTAAAATTGTTATAAGTTTACAAATACACCCCCAAAATAAACCTCAAATGGGGGTGGGGGTGGAATGTTGTGTTTCAGGTCATATTGAAATGTCAGTTTTAATCTAGTGTAAATAACTGGTAGTTTTGTGAATTTGAATTAAGTTAGAAATTATGTATTTCAAAATGAATATATTAATATGAGTGTCAGTCACTATGTTTAACTGAGCATTTGCTGTAAAATTGTTTTGTAATATATAAATTTTTGGAGCATACTTGTATATCCTTAAATTGTCACTTAAATATCTCTAACCATATTAATACTTTTTTTTCTGTCTTGAAAACCTGCACTGCAATACACATGTTTAAATTATGTCAACATATATTTTACTGACAAGAAACCTGATGTCTTTTGAAAATTATGGTTATAAACAACAAGTAAAAACATTATAGAATATGTTGTATTTACTACTTTGTAAACCAGCACAACTTGGACAGTGTATTTGCATAAATGTCTGGCCTAAAGTAGAAGTGAGTAATTCAAAACCTGGAGCAGAAACTACAAATTATTGAAAGGTATACAAAATAAATGTATAAAAATAGCATATTTTGATTAAATATGAGAAAATACAGTAAGGTGAATGTGAATTCATTTTAAAGCAGTTTTCTACCTTTATAACTACTAAAGACATCTTCAGTAAATGTTGTTCAGGTTTTCATTACTGTTTCCTGTATTTTATTGACATATTCTAGTCATATGCAATGATACCTCATTTATCCATACATTTTACGTATTCTTTTTTTTTTCCCTGAAGTACACACATAAATGGAGTTCCACTACACATGCATTTGCAATAGCTTTCATGAAACAGTGAATCATGTATATAGTTTGGATCAGTGTTGTTGTTAAAATATTTATAGCTACAGTTGCATTTCCAATTAAGATAAATGGCTGAAGAAAAGGGAGACTCAACAGACCAGAAGGCTCAGTCTGTGAGTGACAGAGGAAGTCCTCAGGAGAATGGGACTGCTGACACAACACCAACAAAGAAATCTAAATCATCTAAGAGACGTGATGTTAGTGGACATGGGAAATTGGCTCTTTGTCGAATAAGACTTCTGGATGGTAGTGACTTAGAATGCCAAGTAGAAGTAAGAGTTTTTTTTATTACTAAAGTGTAACAGTAACTTTGTTTTAGGAGAAATGTCTTAAAAGTATTTTACATACAGAAATATTTTCATTATGAGAGACATGAGGATCATTAATATGAATACTGCCTTGGGAAAAGTTGATATTAATATGACGACCTTACTGTCAGCTTGCTGAGCTGTAAAATTGTTTATCAAGTCTTTAACTTGGTTATGGTATTTTGTTTTTGGAAGAAAATAAGTATTTACTGTTGCAACTTGAACTGGGCAATTAGTGGTATTTGCTAATCAGTCATTGGGCTCATTAATTGATCAGTACACAACTCCTACACATACACGCACACACACAGACATACACTTGTAGAAGCAAAAAAAAAAAATTAACAATGCATTATTCTTTCATGATATTACTTTTTTTTTGTAAAAAAATTTTTGTCAACAAAAGAAATTTTGCCACAAATTCTTTTTCAAGATGCTGGACATATCTTACTTGGTAAATGAATCATGTGATTGCCATTATGTTTATTTTTAAAACATGTAGTCGTAAACCCATACTGATCATCTATGAATCAAATAAACTGATAATTAAGTAATGAAAACGTTTCACTGTCACTGGTCCCCCAGTGGGACAGAGGTTAAGTCTTCGGATTTAGAATGCTCAAATCAGGGGTCGATTCTCCTCAGTGTGCACAGCAGATAGCCCAATGTGGCTTTGCTATAAGAAAACACACACACACACTGTCACTGATAAGAGTAATAATGTTTTTATCTAGCTCTGCTGAGTAGAAAAATCAGAGTACAGGCATTTTTCACATATGCATACTGGTGCAGTAAGTATCCAATTTCAAGGAAAACTTTCTATCTGTCTGTGGATGCAGTGAGTTGATTGATCCAGACCAAACTTGGAAAGCTAACTTAGTAGTCCAAATCAAACAAAATTCATAGTAAACTTTCTCATATATCGAAAAATAAAAATATTTCATAGAATAATCTGTATATTGTTACTGCAGTAGTTATTGTAAATAGTTGAGTATGAACAAAACTCGCACCACAACAAAATTCTAAAAGTCAAATATTGTAGATAAATTTTAAACATATTGTCTTGTTTTCCATAATAACCAAAATATGCAGTAATAAAATATCCAGCTACAATGTGCAGAATAAAGATATTGCTGCTGGTAAAGTTTTCTTTTCTGATTTACACCATTTAACTTCTGGTTTATGCTAGGGTTAGAATAAGCTGAAGCCTATATTAGAGAAGTATTTAATAATTAAATTATTTTTAGGATATTTCTTACTTCTTGATGTAGAATATAGTTTTCTGTAGGATCAAAATTCAAGATTATTATTAGATTTAATGCATTAAATGTACCAAGTTCAGACAGCAGAATTTTTAACTATATCTCTACTTTGAAATGGGCTGCTTTGAACAAGAAGTGATGCAACTGCTTTGCCATTTCTGCCAAGTTTCTCAACTTGACAGTTACACCTTACTTCTGATCCACTTTCCCTGTTTAACAACAATTTTCTTGGAGAGGGAGAATACTACTGAAAATTCTCACAGAGATTTTGCTCATTTTCAGCCAATTTGTATGTGTTTTCGGCATTTTCAAGAGAAAAAAGACTGAGAAGTGCATTCTTCTTAAAATAACATGCAAAATGTTCAAGGTAAGATATTTAAAGTTCATTACAAGAGCTTCAGAAAGAAAGCTCTTTATGGACTGAGTGTTCACTTTCTTGTAGACTATCAACAGATCTGTTGGGCTTTCACCAAGGGCAGAGCTGGGTATGCAATTTGCCTCTCAAAAGATTATTCAAATTGCACATTTACTTAATTTAAAATATATTGTGATTGAATAAGAAATTATTAAGTAGCCAGTTAGCCTGTTTTTTTATGTATGTTCTTTGAATAGGATAAACATAGATATAATAGTTCATAAAGATATGAGTTATCAGAATATTTTGAAATTGCTTATGATATTCATTAAACAATAAACATAACTAAACTTATCTGATTTGAAGACATTTGTATTTAGTGAACATGTTTACGAACAGTGCAACTCAATAAAAAAGCAAAAACTGCAATTTTATACAAAGAAGTAAATATCAATGAGAAACTTTTAATAAACCTTAAGCTATTTCAGTTATGTGACCTTTTTTTCATGCTGTGTGTATAATCCTGTGTCTAAGTATACTTATTGTCCATGATGATGATAAAACCTCCAAACATTATACATGTATTATTGTGTTACCTTCTAGTAAATTTTCCTTTGTTTCCCATCCAATCCATCTCTAAAGTGTATAATATAAGCTTAACTCATCTCAAGTTATATATCTTCTCATAGGAGAAAATTTCTGTAACTTTCAGACAGATATCATTTAACAGACAAATACTTTCACAGCTAAAGGAACATTTACAGAAACTATATAAAAGTCACAAACCTATATGTTTACTATTACATGATAGTCTAAGTATTGGACTATCCAATCACATTTTAACTTTATAGTTATTTCAAGTGCCATTTTTAATCAATTTATTTTGTAAAATAAAACTTTTTGATAGTTATAACTTCATCTTTTAAAGTTTGAAAACTATAACAATAAAACTATAAAGCTTATTCAAATAATAAATGTTTTAATTTCTCCACACTAGCTGCATTAATTTTTCACTTTTATAATGATGGTATGGTACCAGTTAACTTTTTAAAAGTTAGTTGTATAATACTGTAAATACATTTTCAGTATTTTTCATATGAAAGAAGAGGATTCCACTAGAATAGAGTATTGTGAATTAATCATTGTTGACAATATGTTCTTACCATAAATAAATCAAAGTTCAAATAAAATTAATATGTTGTTGCAACATTATATTCTAGCTTCTAATATACTAGAAAATCTTGATGTAAAAAAAAACCACTGTCGAGATAAGGTTTTTCTGCTAGACTGCTTTGGTTGTATGTCCATATAGAAATAGAGATAGAAATAAAAATGGACAACACCAAGTGTAGTCTTGCCCTTACAACTGTTTCAAGCATGCTGTCTTTAGTCATAGTAAACCATTTGTACTATTTCTGATAGTGGTCCATGCACACACACACTGGTGTTCTC